GGAGTACCTGTATCATGGAAGACGAGGATTAGTAATGCAATCTCTGCTAGCTCTATCTCTCATTTTGTGAAAGTACAAAGCTAGGTGTGGTTAAGTGATTAAAATAAAATGAAAATTTTACTCACTTATAGACTCCTCTAGTTTTAATGTATTCTAACTACGCTCAACTTTTCATTTTATATATGGATGCTTTTAATATCGGTCTTAAGGGTGTGTTGATGCAAGAGAGCATAAGTATGGCTAATTAACATTTTCCCATTATATATATCAACTATACATTGCAAACACAATAGAGAAATGTTTAGCAATAATTTGGGGTTTTGAGAAGCTTTATATATATATTTGTATAGCACTTGGATATTACTAAATGGTGATCATATTATAATTACTTCATTATTAAAGTGAAAGAACTTAGTTGGTTGTATTGTTTGGTAAGCTCTAAAATTTTAAATATATAATTTCAATGGCCTAAGGAGTTTTATAGTTAATGTTAACACCCTTTTTTGAACTTCTTTTCCTTTTTCATTTTTTTCTTTTATTCCTATTCTAGTATCAATGGACAAGGATTTTATACTATTGGTGGTTGTTGTCCTTGATATTTAATGTCCACAAGGTATGGAAAAAGCTTGACAAAGTTTGTGAAGCTCAAAAAGTTAAGTCGTATGTCTGTATGCTTTATAATGGGTTTAAAAATCTTGCATCACTTGCTAATAACTTCCTGTTTTGGCATTTATATTTTCAATATCACTTTAAGAATAATCTTCTTTATTTTGTGAGGATTGATTTTGATGATCATTTATAACTAGTGGTGCCTTCAATTTTTATTTTATACTTTCTCTTTACTTACCATGACCCTAGACATCGTTATATGGCTAAGTAGTTGCTTAGATCTTTCTATTGGCCAAAAATGTAATGCAATATTGTTTTGTATATGCATAGTTGTATTTGATGCCAAATTTATAATACTCCCTCTTGTGTTCTAAAAAGACAATTGAAATTAATTATAATTTCCTTTCAATTTGAGTTAATGGCATTTGATTTAATGGGTCTTTTTCATAGTTGATTGCTAGATTATTATTGCTTTTTTGACTTGCTCGATGGAAGTTAATACTCTTGCTAGTGCATTTGTGACTACTATTAGATATTTCCTCCTCAATCAGATGGTATTCTAACAATTTAATCTAAAGTGAATTCTCTTAGATAATAGTCCTATATTTATAGTTGAGGTACTTCATATTTTAATGTTTTAATTAGGGATTTATGAGTGTTTATCATCCATAAATAGATGGTTTGATGAAATGGTTCATTTGGACCTTCAAAGGAATGATTGCTAAGTATATTAATTTTCAGTATTTGAATTGGGATGTCATCTCTTTAGTATGCATATATTACTAAGTTATAGAGTTCTATTGATGCTTCACCATGTAAACTTTTATACAGTCATGGTCCGATATTGCCAACTAAATTGAATTTACCTTTGTGATTTCTATGAGCTACCGATGCTAGGTCCTAAAATTAGTATTTGATGTGTATTTTTCCATAGATTTGAGTGGAGTTTACTTGTAACACATGTAATCATATGATTAAATTTAAATATATTGTTATTATTATTCTTTGGAATATTAAGGGATAAATAGGGATAAAATAGCCACTAAAGGCTCTTTTATCAAATAATTACTTTTTTTCAAATTGGTTTAAGGGGAAAGAGATAAAATGTGTTATATATGGTATTACATATGGTGAAATCATTAGGGGATTATATGTTTTTCATTTTTGTAAAACATGGTAACCCTCTAAGGGATTATATACAGTTTAACTATATGACTATGATACTAAATACTAATATTAGTGTAGTGGGATTTGACAGCTATTAGATTAGTTTCATCAATATGGACTATTTACTCTTTTATATAAGTTATGGTTTTGAGGTAATTGTGTATTCCATTTCTATATTCATAATATATATATATATATATATATATATATATATAATTTTTTATTTTTAGCTTTATTATAAATTCAAATTTACCTTAGTAAATGAAAGAAATGGCCACTATGGCATAAATATTTTGTTGGTACTAGCATTTTGATTGAAGAATAAGTGCAGACTCCATTCTTATATTAGTAAGGCTATTTAAAAATGATTTTTTTATTGTCTACACACCTTAGAAAGAATTAAAACCTTAAAATTGACAGAAGCTTCAAAATATATAAATTTTAATTTATAAAATATCAATCAGAAACTTTCACCAAAAATGTCCCAAGTTTGGTGTGAGTTATGTGTATAATGCACTATAATATAGAGAATATCTATTTACCTTGAAGATTCTTAAATTATTTATTAAATTATATTACATTTTATTACATCTATTTTGGCAACTTTAAGATTAATTACAATTCTAAGTATTCAATTTTAGCCCAAATCAGCAGCTCGTTGACCACATTTAGACATTAATATTATTACAGTATAGAGGTAAAATATCATAAAAAAGCTTAACTTTGAATAAAATGTAATGTAAAAGGAAGATCTGGCAGTACACTTCAGTGACAATCTCCAGAAAATCGATGCTACCAAGAAAATGTCGTCTTGTTGGATGCATTTGATAGGCCATATCCATTCACAGAAACGAAATCAAAAGGTCGCTCGCTCTGTTTGTTGATCACTGTGATAACGGTCTGCTTTATCCAACCGTCCTTATCAACGGTGTTTACTACCGACGGCTAAATTCACGCCAGCTGGCGTGTGCGCTGGAGGCCGTTCGATCTCTAACATATCGACGGCCGCGAGAAAGGGCGAATATTCTACGGCATAAAGGGGTAGCATTGCACGCCGCCATCGCCACCGGAGATTCACGTGTGCGGCTTCAAGAAATACTGCTTGCGCCAAAATTCTCGACCGCGCGCGCGGCAATGCGGACTCGCTCGGCGCAGCGCCCGGATTTGCCGTCTCAGGGTCAGTGATTCTATCTCTCTTCCTGCCTATCTTGCGGATTCTTGTGTGGAGTCGTGGATTTCGGGCTTGATTCCGGCTGGAGGAAGCAGATGTTCTTCGGGAGCGCTGGATTCCTCTCAGCCGGAAGGAAATGCTGGTGTGCTTCGTGAGTATGGCTGGAAGATTATTTCGGGGAATTAAAGGGTTGAGGGCTTCCTTTCCTATTTGCTCTTCTTTTTTTAGCTTTGCATAGAGTGGATTGTAAGCTCCTCCGGCATCTTGGGCGATGAATGCTGCGAGCATCCTAGAATTGTCTAAACTTTGCTTGTCGCGGACTTCTCCTCAAATGTAGGCTCTGTCTATTGAATTCGTTTTCTCGTATTTGTCTAACCATGTGTTACTCGTTCCAACGCAGCTTGCGAAACAATCGAGCTGCCGCGCTGTTCTCACTGACGAGACGCGGAAGAATTCTTTTCAAAGAGACTCCGAGATGCCACCGTCAGCGGTACAAGATGTTTTTCCCTCGACGCCAGGCAAGGTGAAGATGGAGAGAAACAACTACTTTGGACGAGTTTCCAACAGATGGCATTCTTCCGGGTCGGGGAGGTATTTCTTCTGGATGTTTGTTTCGGTAGCGCTTATGTTCTACGCGTTCTTCCACATATCGGCTCCACCGGCAGTTCAAACAGGATTGGAATCCAGGCACTTCGGGAACAGGGCCTTGACTTGGGGGGGATCGAAATGGGAGAAGCAAGTCAGACACTCTGCTCGGACCAAGAGAGAAAACGGGATGGTAGTTTTAGTCACAGGCGCTGCTGGCTTCGTCGGCACTCACGTATCGCTGGCTCTCAAGAAACGGGGTGACGGTGTGGTCGGACTGGACAACTTCAACAGCTACTACGACCCTTCACTCAAGCGAGCAAGGCAGGAGCTTCTGGAGAAGCAGTCGGTCTTCATCGTCGACGGGGACGTGAACAACTCGGAGCTCCTCGCCAAGCTCTTCAGCATGGTTCCGTTCACTCACGTCATGCACCTGGCGGCGCAGGCGGGTGTCAGATACGCCATGCAAAACCCGGCCTCGTATGTCAACTCCAACATCGCTGGACTGGTGACGCTGTTTGAAGCTTGCAAGTCGGCCAATCCGCAGCCTTCGATCGTCTGGGCCTCGTCGAGCTCCGTCTATGGGCTCAACTCCAAGGTTCCGTTCTCCGAGATGGACAGGACCGACCAGCCGGCGAGCTTGTACGCCGCGACCAAGAAAGCTGGCGAGGCCATCGCTCACAGCTACAACCACATATACGGGCTCTCCATCACCGGCTTGAGGTTCTTCACGGTCTATGGACCTTACGGACGCCCGGACATGGCTTACTTCTCCTTCACCAAGGACATCTTACAGGGAAAGCCGATCAACATCTACCAAGGACCGGATCAAACCGACCTCGCCCGCGACTTCACGTACATCGACGACATTGTCAAGGGGTGCTTGGGTGCTCTGGACACGGCGCTTCTCAGCACTGGAACAGGCGGGAAGAAACGAGGCCCGGCTCAGCTCCGAGTCTACAACTTGGGCAACACGTCCCCGGTGACGGTCCCCGAGCTGGTTAGCATCCTGGAGAAGCATCTCAAGGTGAAAGCGAAGAAGAACTTCGTCAAGATGCCGAGAAACGGGGACGTTCCATTCACTCACGCGAATGTGACTCTGGCGAGGAACGAGCTGCGCTACAATCCCAGCACGGATCTCTACACGGGGCTCAAGAAGTTCGTCAAGTGGTACGAGAGCTACTATGGTTTGACGAGCGGCTTGAGTGGTAGCAGGAAGAACAGGGCGATCGAATCGAGCTGATGAAAGGGATCGATTGGTGGTGGTGGTGGAAATAAGACGAGCGAGGAGCTACTACGGTGTTCATAGTGGTCAGGAGAAATTTTTTCTTTCTCTCTTTCTTTCGTTTCCATGGTTTCTAGGATGAGAATTCTTTTCGCTTGTACAGACAGGGAATAACCGGCTGAAAAACATAGAGCCGGTCATATATAATGACGATCTTCATATAATCTCCCTCTCTCTCTCGGATGATATCTTGTCCTCTAGGATAGGCTAGGGCTAGTGGGAGGAGCAATGCACGAGGAGCGATCGAAGGCGCCAGTGCTTGTTCGATTGAAAGGGAAATGCGGCGATGTGCGCTGCGCAGTGAATGGTTGTCAGGAGCGATCGATTGCCGCAGGTTTGATCTAGGGGAATTTCTTGCTTTTTCTTCGGTCACAGATCGTTTGTTTTGTTGCAGTGCTTCTGGATCGTGACGCGAGGAGTGGTGCCGACACTGTCAGGCAAAGAAAGAGGGCTGGAGCTTTACAGAAGATGCCGAAGGTTTTGGCAATTCTCTTTTTTGGTTGTTTGTGACGAAAGCTATGGATGAATGCAGGAAGAATCATCAGAAGAAGCTATGTACGGTGATTTTCAGTGCATCATCAGGCCACGCTCGTGAGTTCCTCTATGATTTGCTTGTATTGTTTAATCGAGCTTCCTAGTAGTGGAGACCAGATTAGCATGCTTGTCTGTCTCTTTCACGTCTTGCGTTGTTAAGTTGCTAGATCATCTTCAAGTGTTCTGGTGCTTGCAGTCATGTCCTCTTATATCTCCAGTTTGCTAGTTACATCGGAGATATGTCGTCTAGTTTTGCCACCTCGTGCTTCTTTTGCCTGTGAACGAGTGAGAGAACAATGTCTGCAAAGTTTAATGTTTTAGTTGTCCTGTTGCTTGGCTCGTTTCTCGTTCCTAGTGAAGCTCAAGTCCTTGCGACTGATTCGAGCCCTGCATTGCAGAGAATGGAAAAGGATTTTGTCAGCTGGGTGAACTGGATTGGTTCCCTCAAGCATTCCATGTTCGGAAAGACAGCTAGGAACAGGATCAAAGTTGCGAGGACGATTGTGGTGAGCAAGACAATTGGGGAGGGTGACTACACGACGGTTCAAGCGGCTTTGAACTCTATACCTGACTACAATGGCGAGCGCATTGTCATCCACATCAATCCCGGCTACTACAGGTGATATTTCTTTCATTTGTTGCTTTCGATTCTCAATTTCATTTGTATCCAGAGAAAAAGTTACGGTTCCAATAACGAAGCCTTACATTACACTCCAGGGCTCTGGAGCGTGGCTTACCATCATCGACTGGAATGATACAGCAAGCAGTCCTGGTCCTGGCGGACAGCCGTTGGGAACCTTTGAGAGTGCAACAGTTGGAATTTACGCGTCGTTTTTCATTGCTAAGAACATTACGTTTAAGGTAATCGTCGTGTTCATGGTTCGATCTTTCATGCGGATTTTGCAGAATTCTGCTGTATTTTTTCCTGGAGCACCAGGGAAACAAGCTGTTGCCCTTAGAATTTCTGGTGACACAGCTGCTTTTTATGGTTGTCATTTCTTGGGATCCCAAGACACTCTATACGATCACAGTGGCCGTCACTACTTCAGAGAGTGCTACATTGAGGGATCTATAGATTTCATATTCGGAGATGGCCATTCATATTACTACGTAAGTGTTACTGTTGTTCTCGAGCAATTTTCTCAACCCGCTTTTTTCAGAAATCTCATCTACACGCTGCTGCTGAGAATTGTGGTGGAATTGGTGCATTAGCAGCCCAAAAGCGAACCAACCAAAGCGAACGAACTGGTTTTTCTTTTGTGAACTGCAGGGTCACCGGTTCTGGAACAATCTTTTTAGGACGAGCTTGGGGTGACTTCTCTCGGGTTGTTTATGCATTTACGTACATGGATAACATAGTTGTCCCGGAGGGTTGGGACAACTGGGGAGACCCCAATAAAGAGCAGTAAGTTGTTCCTCTCCAGTTTTCTCGATTCTGATAAATTGCTTGCCCCGCAGCACTGTGTTTTTTGGGCAGTACAAGTGCTCGGGACCAGGAGCCAATCATGCAGGACGTGTAGCGTGGTCTCACGAGCTCACACCGGGACAGGCACAACCTTTTCTAGATCCAAGCTTCATTGATGGCTCTCAGTGGCTCCCAACTTAGAGAGGTACGGTATTTTGAATTTTAATCTCGTAGCAAAGTCTCACTTCAGTTGTCTTTGTAGACAGAGCTGGACGTGTATATAATTTATAGTTGAAGGAAAAGCATTTGCTGCTTTGCGCACGATTGCTTGTCATAGTTTGCGACATTTTCTTACTTTTCTAATGCCTGGGCCTGTAGTATCTTGCAATCTGTTCAGCTGATTTGCTCTTTCTGCATCCACAGCGAACTCTCGTAAGTATCCTATTCATATCTGATTCCAATCCACAGGGCTCCGTGCATTTTTCGAGCTGGAAAATCAGATTACTTGCAACTTGGTTGATCCAGGTACCTTGAAAGTTTGCCAGCAAGCGAAGTTTTAAATCTCGTGCTAGAAGCTTATCTTGGTTGCAGTCAGCAGTGAGAGATACAAATCCGTCAGCACGGCGGAGATTTGCTTCGATGTCGATGGAATAGAAATTCCAGTGAAACTTTGTGAGAGACGTCGTCTTCTCCAGACGGGCGGGCATTTATTTCGTCCGGGCGAAGCCTTCTTCGGCAGCGGTGCCTGTGGGATCCAAAGAAGAGCGACTACAAAGTACATAGACCGGTGGACAGTAAGCGAGTTACGCGGTGCAACCACTCAGAGTTAATGGTCCATGGACGACATTCCGTGAAAGCAGTGAACATTTATGGATCCAACAACCAAGCTTTGACGAGCGGTTCGTGGTTCGTTCTTCTTTCCTTCCTTTTTTTACTTCGTTCTTTGAGTTTGTTTATCTTTTTTTTTTCGTTTTTTTTTTTTTTTTTTTTTTTTTGGTTTTGCTTGCTGCTACATATTTGATTCTGATGTCTCTGTTCATTATAGTTATTGTTTTCAGCTTCTTCTGCATGGCATTTGTGAGGGAACGCACTCAACCAGTTGCTGCTGCCAAGGGAGCACAGCACAATCTGTGTTGATAGCGAAGGCTCCTTTTCTTGAGGTATTCTTTTCTTTTTCCGAGCATTAAACGCCTGATCTTTGCAAGCAATCAGGTACAATAATTTCGCGTGTCCAGCCATTTTCTATGCCTCCATTTCATCAGGTAAGCAAGACGAGAAAGAGAGAGCAAAAAAAAAGAGAGAGAAAAACTTTCGGAAAGATCCATCAAGCAACGCTCTCTTTCGTTTGCAGCAAACACAGGCAGTCCCTCTCGCCCGATCAACTTGTCAAGATGGGTGGAAAATAAAAAAGGAAAGAGCTTTTGGTCGCATGGCCCTCCCGTGACGCCGAGCTCTATTAAAATCCTCTCACGTTTTGAGCTTCAAGGGGAGGTGGCGTAGCAATCCACATTACTTACATCGCTCTTTTCCCTCCCTCTTTCTTCGGTGAATTTTTTTGGGAGTTTTCAATGTGTAGTAGCGTTGTTTTCGTGCCGCCGTATATTCCCCTCTCGCTCTCTCCTTTTTTGCTTTCCACCGCCTTTTAAGTTCGAACAAACACTCACTAGAAGCCCGAGACGAGAATCTTTGAATCATCGTACTTAAGGAAAGTCCTGGTGAAGCTTTTCTAGCTTTGCCTTTGGGTCGTTCTCAATCCACACAATTCCGATAGAAAGACATGGTTTCTCCATATCAGATAAGAGAAACTTTTCTTTCTCTTCGATACAAACAGGTATGATTTGAAAATAATTAGAGTCAAAGTTGGCGTATTAGTGGAAGAAAAAAATTCATAGGAAAAATACAAACTCGTACGTTTTCTGTCAACCTTTTAGGCCTATAAACAATGGGTTTAAACCTAACCGGCTATAACAAGCGCGGCATTTTTCCATTCTTTCTTTCCCTCCTCTCCCAAAATTCTTTCCCACCTAGCCGATAGCTCCGGCCCATAGCTCCGGCCATGGCTGCCAGGGATTCCTCCTCCTTCCTCGCCGCCTTGTTCCTCCTCTCTCGCGGCTCGCGACGCGCCTCCATTCTCGTCTTGTCGACCTTAATCCTCTCGCATCCTCGCGGCGCGGCGGCGACGAGAAATCTCCTCCAATCCTTCAGCACCGAGGGGCATCTGGCCGCGCGGATTCTCGTCGTGGATCAGAGCGGGAATGGCGATTTCGTGACTGTCCAGGACGCAGTGAACGCGATCCCGGACGGGAATGATCAGAGGGTGACGATACGAATTGGTCCGGGAATCTACTGGTAAGGATCAGCATTCTCTTCCTGGCTCTCGCCTCTCTTTCTTCCTCTTCCTTCCTCCTCGATTTCTCTGTTCTTGGAAATTACTCTTCTTGCCTCGATCGATCAATCTCAACGAATTCTCGCGATCCCAGTTACAATCTTGCCTGATAATTCCCGCCAGCGATCCATTCTTGCCGATTCTTGGCGCTCACGGGTCCCAGATTTCGCACGGCAGCGTAGAATATTTCCATGAACAGGGGAGAAATTTTGGCATCGATGCAAAGAACACCCCGCCGCAAAATCCAAGCGCCAACGATCCCTTGCGTCGATGTCACGCGTAATGCACCGCGATCGGCCGCTTCCCCCAGCTCCAATTGCGGGCAAAACGATCGATCATCATCGTCGCAAGGATCTTCATACGGCGAATCTTGGGCGGCATCTTCGCGCTGCCGGTTTATTCCCGCGAATCTCCGCATCTCCGTGACCGTCAGTCAGATAGGGCGGTCAGTATGGCCAGTAGAGAAGAGAATTTTCTTTTCTTTCTCTCTTCCAGCCATGGCGCTCTTCTCGTGATGATCTGATGAGACATTCTTTCTTATCATTTTCTTGCCTTTGTTTCTTCCCCTTTGCTTCTTCCAGGCGTCTCATTGTCTGTGGGTTTGTTTTTTCGGTTCCAGGGAGAAAGTGGTGGTTCCAGCTACGAAGCCGTTCTTAACTTTCCAGGGCGCTGGGATTGATCGTAGCCTCATCGTCTGGAATTCCACCGCCAGCGACCTCGGCCCCGATGGACAGCCGCTTACGGCCTATAGAACCGCGTCAGTGACGATCGTAGGGGCGAATTTCATAGCCAGAGACATCAGTTTTCAGGTACTTCCACTCTTTTTTGTCTCCTTTTCTTTGTGCGTGAATTGTGTGTGCATGTTTGCGTGTGCGTGACCTTTGCGTGGTTTCTATCTTTCAATCGATTTATAAGCTCTTGGCTCACACAAAAATGGTTTGTTTTTTTTTTTTTTTTTTTTTGTTCTTGTGATAGAACACTGCACCTCCACCACCACCCGGTGTCAATGGACGTCAAGCAGCGGCTTTCCGGATCTCTGGCGACATGGCTGCGTTCTACAACTGTGGCTTTTACGGCGCGCAGGACACGCTCTGCGACGATGTCGGACGCCACTACTTCAAAGGTTGCTTCATCCAAGGCTCCATCGATTTCATCTTTGGCAATGGCCGCTCGCTCTACGAGGTGAGCATCAAAACTTTCCGCCTTCCTTTCCGTGTTTTTTAATGCCGGGAGTGCTGCAGCAATGCGAACTTCACTCCATAGCGGATTCCTACGGCTCCGTAGCAGCACAAGATCGGCAGAGCCAAACGGAAAACACAGGATTCTCGTTCGTCAACTGCAAAGTTACCGGAACCGGGATTTTGTATCTCGGACGAGCAATGGGACCGTACTCCCGCATTGTCTACTCGAACAGTTACTTCGACAATATAATCGATGTACGTGGCTGGGACGATTGGGATCACGACGCATCCAGAGACAGGTAAAAAGAGGATCTTTCTTTTCTTCTTTGTAAAATCTTAACTTCCTTTTCTGTAGAACTGTCTCGTTTGGACAATACAAATGCTATGGTCCCGGAGCCACTTCTTCGCTGAGAGTGCCGTGGGCTCGCGAGCTCTCGGACATGGAGGTAACTCCATTTCTTTCGCTCAGCTTTGTGGATGGCACGCAATGGCTTCCTTCGACGTGATCGAGCTCTCTCGAGAGAGAGCCACAGTAAGGACAGGATTTACACTCCAAAAGAAGCAATACAGGCGAGATACGAAAGAAAAGGCGAGCGAGATTATAGTGTACTATAGAGCCATTCTTTTCGTCTCAAAGTTTTATTGTTTGTGAAGCACAGATTAAAAAGCTTCCTTGGAAGCTAAGCGAGCAAGCAAAGCAAGCCTCGGAATTTCGAGAGCTCGATCAGATCAAAAGCTATTGAAGAATCTAGTTTTTATCACTTGGGAGTTTTGAATCTCATAGTTGAGAGAAGTATACTTCAGCACTCTCTTGAGCTATGGCGATGAGAGATCTTTGCAAATCAACTTTAGCACTCTCTTGGAGCTATGGCGATGAGAGATCTTTGCAAATCAAACCCAATTCGAAAGGTTTGCTGCTGGACGTTGCCAATGACCGAGATGGGCATGGAAGACGGCGCGAAAGCCAGGCAAAACGTCCCCGAGCGATCCACCGGGATGAGAATATTCCCGCCGGGCAGCACCATGTCCACGCCATTGTCGAAGTGGAGCACCAGCGATGGGATCTGGACCGTCGGCAGCCCCTGGAAATTGAAACACGTGTCGAGCAGGTAGACCCCCGGCGCCGGCGGTAGGTTCCGCGACGCCGCACGGTACGCGTCGCGCAGCACCGCGTAGGCCGGCGGCACGACGCGCGTCACGGAGGTGCCCGAGTCGAGGATGGCGCCGCCGGTGCCGTTGCCCGTGAGCGCAAACTGCGCGGGCGGTATGGGCAGCGGGGTACCGCCGACGCTGATCCCAGTGAGGACGGCGTAGTAGAACGTATTGATTCTAGGGTTCTTGAGCAGCGGCGTGAATCTGGCGGCGAAGGGTATGGCGGTGCGCCCGAAGATGAGCGGCGACGAGCGCGATTGGAGCTGGCTGTAGCGATCCACCAGGCAGTAGGAGAATGCGGGGCCGATGGAGGCCGCGATCTGGGAGAAGAAGGAGAGCGTGCCGCCGCCCATCCCTAGGAGCCCCGCCTCGCCGCGGAAGAGGCCCGAGTTGCTATGGCCGCATCCAAACGCGATATTTCGCATCGCGGTGCTGGAATTCGGCCCCAGGTAGAAGGATTCTATGCCAAGATCGCCGCTGCTAGCGGAGCTATCGCCATAGACGACGCGGTAGCTACATCCCATGCCTTGGCAGGCGCTGTAATCCAGCGCCTGGCACAGCGCCGAGCCGCAGTAGACGCGGCGGTAGCTCGACGAATTGGAGGGATCGTAGATTGGATCGACCTGAGAGTAGCAGGAAGAGCAGGGCGCGCACTGGATCCAGGTGACATCGCTGCCGGTGTCGAGCTCCAGGTAGTAGGATCTCTGCGGGTTTCCAATTCCCATCCTCGCGAAGTATTCGCCGCTGCCCAGGCTCAATCCCGAGGAAATCTGGGCGGTCTGGAGGAGCGATCGTCCGCGGCGGTGGCGACGATCGCTCGACTGGATGCGGTGGTGGATCCAGCGGAGGCGCGCCTCGTCCCGCTCCATCGCGCTGTGGATGTCGTGGAGAGGATCCTGATAATGGGGATCGCCATCGCGCCGGGAGCTCCGGTGGAGGATCTCGATGGCGAGCTCCTCCTCTTTTCCTTGCAGCTCGTGATCTTGGCGCTGGGGGCGCGGATTTGCAGCCGCCGGGGCAGTGGCACGCGATGCGAATGGCGGGAAAGATAAAATTTTAAAATGCCCGGGGGTAAAGGTGATGAGCTCTTTGTGTTCTTTGTGACCGCCTTCTAACTCTTGGGATTGGCGCAGCGAGAGCAAGGTGGCGAAGAGGATCAACACGAAGATTTTCATCGGGGATCTGGATCGAAGAACAAGAACACATGAAGGTGCTTTAAACGTTTGATAGCTTTGCTTTGCTCCATTGGCATTTTGTTCTTTTGCTTTTGGGCTTTGTCCTTCTCACAGCCGTTTTCTCCCCGATGCACTGCAATGGGCTTTGGTATAAGCGACCTCGCGTCCAAGCGTTTTACACGAATGCGGGGATTTTATTTCGTGATTCTCGAGTTACAAAGTTAGCACCAACAAATCACCGGTAAACCGCGAAATTTGGTTTCCTTCCCAAGTATTTACGGATCTGGCTAGAGATTTTTATTGTTCTTGACAGTTTCTTCCTTTTCCTTTTCTGAAGGTGTCGCACAAAAGAATTGGGAATCAAATTTTGTACAGACGAGCCAGGTTTTCTTCCTCGTTGTTTGCTATAGTTCACGTAACCATTGTACGCCGTCAATGAAGTTTACTTGCAGGAAAGGCCTGGCTTCCTCGTCCGTGAGCTCGTGAGACCACCGAACACGGCCTAGTTCGTTAGCTCCCGGTCCGAAACACTTGTACTGACCATAATAAACTGTCCTGTTCGTTGATGTAGGTGACAAGAGTGAGAAAAAGATAGAAAATCTCGCGAGAACTTACTCCTGCCTGCTCGCGACGCCCCAATCATTCCACCCCTCGGAGACAACGTTGCTGTCCATGTAGGTGAAGAGATAGACGACTCGAGAGTAAGCTCCCCAAGCACGTCCTAAGAAAATGGTGCCACTTCCTGTCACTGTGCAGGCAATAAATATGAAGCCAGAGTTCTCGCGAGGGTCTCCCCTGTTCTGAGCGGTGACTGAGCCAAAGCTGTCGGCGATGGCGTGGAGCTCACAGGCCTGTACATGAGAAAAGAAAAAGATCAGGTAGACAAAGAAAAAGAGAGAAAGGCGACTAACAGTTCTCCAGTTTCTCGCAAGAATTGTTCTATTCTACCTTGAAGACGGACTTCGCATGGCCGAAGATAAAGTCAATGGAGCCTTCGATGTAGCAGTCCCGGAAGTAGTGACGTCCCTCGTAATCGAAGAGCGTGTCCTGGGCGCCATAGAAGCCGCACGAGTAGAAGGCAGCCATGTCGCCGGCGACCAAAACAGCCACCGCTTGGCGATTGAAAGCTCCCGGTGGCGGCCGCGGTGCATTGTTCTGCGAGCGAACAGTCAGGCCTCTTTTCCAAAAGAGGAGAATGAATTCTATGGAAGAAACATGAGGCTCTCCTTTCGATCGATCGAAGAAAGCGAGATTGAGAAAAGCGAGGAAAAGCTTACTCTGAAGCTGATGTACTTGGCGATGAAATTCGGAGCAAAGGCGCTGAAAGTAGCGCTGTTGGCAGTCCCGAAAGTGCTGGCCGTGTCGCTCCAGGAGATGGTGGTGAAATCTCTCCCGGCACCTTGGAGAAGAATGTAAGGCTTCATGTATGGAATCGTGATCTTCTCCCTATAAAACAAAGATTTTTTTTCTCTGTTTTTCTTGGACAAGCTCCTATGATACTTACTGGTAAACTCCAGCTCCAACTTGGATGATCACCCAATGCTGGTTCCCAACCGGGACGGCATCGATTGCTGCTTGGATGGACCTGAAAACTCCCGTCGTCTGCGACGATAGGAGGGAGCTTTGGTCGACCACCAAGAACTTGACCAGCCCATCGCCGCCGATTGCTCTCGGGATGAAATCGTCGCCGCCCTGCTGCTCCGCCGGGTGGATCTTGCTCCTCCGCGTCATCCCCTGCCACTGCGAAGGAATGGAGGCGTTCCTCCACGAATCCACGCTCGCAACCAGGAGAAGAGCCATCGCCAGGAACACGAGCATTGCTATGCTAGAGGAGAGAAAAGGAGCTGGATTGCTATGCTCTAAGGGAGGAGAACGAAATCAAACAAGGAAAACTGGGAAAAGAAAGAAAAGTGGCTGTAAATTTTTTCTTGTTTGCTGCTGGAATTGAAGTTCTCCTGCGGCGAGGCATCAACCACCATGTTTGGACAGAATCTCTTTTGCTTTTGTTGCATGGATTTCACGAGAGAGCAGCAGGCGGAGCGAGGATTTGGGCAGAGCATTGCTCGTTTCCTTTGCAAAAAGTTGGACCCCCCAACCAAAAAAGTCATATGACATCCCTCGAGATGGACATCTTTCCCGAGTCCGGAAGGAATGCCTTTCTCTCTCTCTCTCTCTCAATATTGACTCCCGCCTTTTGACACATACAAAAATTGTTCAAAGCTCTTACTGAAAGCAACTTCTTGGTAGATATAAAGGTATGGAAAAGCATGTAATGCATATTTTTATAAAGAAAGGGTTCGTTATCAAAAAGGTGACGAGGTCATCTCTGTGCTCTACTAAAAGCTCTCCCCATGCTTCCATTACACCTGAAGTAGCTTCCTGCAACATCTGATCTGATCGGTACTTTTTCTCTAATCTCTCTCTTAAGATGTTTATTAAAATAACCCTTTTCTTTTGAATACTTTATTATTCAATAAAGTTTATCCACAAGAACAACGAAAGAGTTATTTACATATATATATATATATATATATATATATATATATATATATATATATATATATATATATATATATAAAATTAAAAAGTTTTTTACTCAATATATTTAGAAAAACAATTATTAGGTGTAATCTTTAGTAACTATAAATATTAGAAAATATATTGCTTTCTTTGTCATGTATAAGTAAAATAAAGTATACCTTCTTTCCATACATGAATAATGATAATAATTATATTTAATATATGAATATTTTATATAAAAAATTAGTGGTAAAATGAGAATAATAAATTTAAAAAAAGTGAAAAAGGCTTAAAGAAGATAATGTAAGATATATTTTATTTTCAAGAACTTGTTATTGCATGCAGTAACAATTGGTTTGCTTAATAGTAGTGTTTATTATTTAAACCAATTGATCAATTAAACTTTTATGATTAGAAACATGTTTATATTTTATATAAACTAGAATATACTAGAAAATGTTTAGGAAATTTTATAAATTATAAATAAAAGATTAATGTAAATGAATAAGAACTGTCTTAGATAGTAAAATATCCAGTTTATAGTTTAAGAGTATATACAAAATATTTAAGCATATTCTAGATATATCCAGTACTGGGTTTCCTTTAAAAAAATTAAATAATTATTTATTAAAATATTTAATAAATTACTAAAATATATTTAAATAATTATGTAAAAATGCTTTGTGAAAGCTTGTTTTTACAAAAAGAGTTAAAACATACCTCTCAAGTACCCCAGAATTGATTTAATAACACTTCAGTGTTCTAGACCTAGATTCTCCAAGGACCTAAATACCATGCGAAGGCCAAGTTTGGTTTCATGCCTATTGCCAAATATATCAAAACATTGTAATCAATATTAAAACAACACCGAAATATTATGGATTCCTTAGATTTTAATTTCAATTTTAAACTACCTTTTTTTTTAATGAATTTTAAATGGCTTTCTAACATCCTTTACCTTTATCAATATCAAATTATAAGTTAGTGAACTTGAAAGAGTCTTTGATGCTCATTAGCACATTGTTGACATTCCAGCAGATCATGAAGCATGAGGAAAAGAATGACAATTACATGGATTGGAGTTCGGTCACTAGTAGCCACCTTAAAACATCTTTTCAGGCTGAGAATCACCTTGACCTGCCAAACTCTCACTCCTGAAAACATCCACTTCCAAGGCTATTTCCTTTGGGATTCCAGCAATTCCTTGCCCACCAAGTTCTTAGAGTAGAGGTTCTTCAGGTACTCTCTAAACACGCAAGGGTTGTAGGCCGCTGGATGCTCCGTGTCTACAAACTTGGGAATCGGAGATACTCTAACGTCGGAAGCTGGATCGTAGAAGAGCCCGACTGATACCCGAGCTTTATCGGCATTTACGATCGCTCTGTGCTCGACGCTCTTGAGCTTTCCATTGCTATAAATCTGTCCAAAAGACATATTAACCATTCTACAAGTTATTTGCTAGCTTGCCTGAAGCTGGTCGCCAATGTTGATAACAAGAGCACCAGGAACCGACCTGACCGTCTTCCACTTCTCCTGGACCTTCACTTGGAGTCCGACGATATCACTGTCCTGCAAGAGAATCGTGAGACCACCAACATCGGAGTGACTACTCAGTCCAATTGCAAGCTCAGGACTCGGGCAAGGAGGATAATAATTGAGCCGCAGCGCCACGTTGTGCTCACCAAACTCCCCCTCCAAATAGTCCGGGCCTAAGCCGAGACCCTCAGACAATGCTCGCAGGAGATGCCGGGCCAGAAACTTGGCTTGATCCACAAATTCCCCAGCAATCAACCTGGATGATCCATGAAAACTTAGAGAAAACCAGGCAAGAGAATTGGATGAACCAAGTCTAGCACTTAGACTTACTCGTAAGCGCTTGGTTTGGTCGGCCATGGATGTGGCTGATCCCGGCGCTCCGGCAGAAATCGATGCAAAAGATTGTCTTGCCAGTCTAGAAACACATCCTTGAGTGGATTGAAGCTCGTGCCGTACCTCACGGCGGCGTCTATGTCCGTACTATAGAAGACCATCTTCTCCGCGAGCGGCAGCTGGAAGAATTCGTGAGCCACGGCGAGCATCCGCCGCGTGAGATCGCTGCCGATGCCGTGATTGATAACCTAGATCCAGTTCCTGTTGAGACGGTTCCATACGCGGCACAGTTTCTTACCTGGAAGAAGCCCCATCTCTCGCTCGCATCCAGCAGCTCGGCGATTACATCCTCCTTGCTGCGATCGGATGAAGTAGGCTTGGAATCCAGCAGCGGGGAGACATCGATCACCGGGACTTCGTCCTCCTGCTCACCGGCGTGGAGCTCTAGATCTTGAGGAGAGAGCCTCTGATCGAGGGGCTTGACATAGAAATCTGGGACCCCGTCTATGCCGCTATCGACGAGCGCCTTGGCACCGTCTAGCTTGTTCCATCCAGCGGCCATAGCCACGCAATTTAAAATTAAAGAGAATCTATCAAGATGCTTCTCAAGTGAAAATCAAATGGACGGCTTCGATTGAAGACCTTTACAAATTGGGCGGGAGAGATTACGTTTCTGCCCTAGAGCAGAACAAATATTTTGGAATATGGCTGGAGCGGGAGAGCAGCGCCATAAGAAAGCCAGGCCGGCGAGCTCTTCGATCGATCGCCGCGCAGATTCCGACTCCGACCAAGGTGATGAAGATCGCCGCAAGCATTCCAAGTCCTGGATGCGGAAATGGTAAGAAGCCGCTCGATGTCTCTCTCCAGTGCTTTTTTTTTTCTTTTCACAGGCTCGATTGCCCGCTGGATCAAGGTCTCAAGGACGCACTGAGGAGAGATCTGGAGGAAATCTGCGAAGAGAATGGTAGGGTCGATCTCGAAATATTTCAAAGCTTCGATCCATTCAAATTCTCTGTGGCAGTGGATCCGGATGTGATCTCGGACGTCGAGGACGAATGGGTCGATTGTGACGAGACGGTGTTTGGAAGCCAGCTCGTCAAGAACCCGTTCGAAGATCTCGATGTCGAAGAGATCAGTGCAAGCCTTCCAAATGCAAACTATGTCAAGGTTTGCTTCTTAACTTTCTTTCGCAAAATTTTCACTCCAGGCTGTGTTGTCCCAGGCTTGCATGGTTTACGCGACCGACGAGACCTTGAAGCTCGAAGAGGATCGCAATTAGAGCCGATCACGTCCCCAAAGGTTGATGTAGTTTCTTTGAAAGGATATGAATTACAGGCTTGTTTTTTCTTTTACCAGATCGTCCTTGTTGATTCTTCAGTTGGAGCACAAGGTCTTAAGGAAAAACATTCGCATTCTTCCCAATGTAAACGAACATAATGATTGAAGGAAGTGCTATGTCTGGTTGGTTCTGCTTGAACTCTATGGCTGCACGTTGACGATTTATTTGCTACCACATATACTTTAAAAAAAAATTAAAAATCAAGTAGAATCCAGACAAAAATCAATTTCTATCAAGCATTAAAATACCATCCATGCCTCTCCATGTTACAATTAGAAATGCCTTGCAACGGACCAGCATTGCATTGATGCAAACTAGACACAGCTGAATGAATTCTAACCTTGTGTCAAGTAAAAATTTACTTGAGATTTTATCAAGCTATGCCTTTACTTCATGATTTATTTATTACATCCTCAATGATTGGACACGAAGATGGGATCTATGTCATCCCAGAAGATTCCATCCTTGCAGCTTGTTTATTTTTAGAAATGCAAATAATTGTGGAAAAATTAATGATATTTAAATAAAAAATAATATGATATATAATATATACTACTAAACTCTCTTTACAAAAAATAAATATTATAATCCATTTAGTTATCTTGTTTAAAAGTGCATTTTTTTACATTTATTGACTTTTTAGCCAAGCTCTTTATTTATATATATGAAGCTTATATTGTTATTATTACTACCAAGATAGTTCTTGAAACAATCCTTGTCTTGAATTTAGAATTATTTAAAATGTTAAACATTTTGAGACTAAATCTATGATATAATTCCTACTGTGAGTGCATGGAATATGGAAAGGGAATACAGAAATGTGCATATCAATTAGCCCAAAAACCCTAGCTTATATACAGGAGCAAGTGGTCCGGATTGAAACCAATCCGACGGCTACCAAAATCCCACTATGCTAATATTAGTATATGGCATCGTAGCCGTACACTTAGCCCTCACATCATCCCCTCCTCTCGGAATAATGGAAGACCATCAAGGTTCTCTTGTAGACAGGCCGGGATATGGAGGAAGATCAGGAGGAGGCATCGGCGGATCTGTAGATGGTATTAACCGCTCATGATCCCTTTGTATGAAGTCTTTCAACCGTTGCACATGCACAACCTCTAGAGGATCGGCCTGCTGGACGTCATGCCAAACCTCATAAACTTGTGGTCCAACTTGCCGCAACACCCGATACGGTCCTTTCCACTGTGCAAGGAGCCCCTTGTGAGACACAAAATCCCTAGGCCCCAAAGTGGAGCCGGAAGGGCGCCACATGGTAGTGGCCGAAACGAGAGCCAAACGAGCGTAACACGTTTGGACCAAAAGCTCCGACTTGAAAAGTCAAGAGCGGGAGTGAAACTCCCAACGAAGTGCTCGAGGAACGAGCACGAAGTGAGCAAAAGGCGAGGCTCCAAAAAGGGACCCAAAAGGACCAACACATGATACGTGGGAGTGTCCGAGATGGAGTCCGAAGTGGAGTCCGAGGTGGACCCGAGATGGACCCGAGTTGGAGTCCGAAGTGGAGTCCGAGATGGAGTCCGAGGTGGACCCGAGATGGACCCGAGCTGGAGTCCAAAGTGGAGTCCGAGATGGAGTCCGAGGTGGACCCGAGATGGACCCAAGCTGGAGTCCGAAGTGGAGTCCGAGATGGAGTCCGAGGTGGACCCGAGATGGACCCGAGCTGGAGTCCGAAGTGGAGTCCGAGATGGAGTCCGAGGTGGACCCGAGATGGACCCGAGCTGGAGTCCGAAGTGGAGTCCGAGATGGACCCGAGATGGAGTCCGAGATGGAGTCCGAGATGGAGTCCGAGGTGGACCCGAGATGGACCCGAAATGGAGTCCGAGATGGAGTCCGAGATGGACCCGAGATGGAGTCCGAGATGGAGTCCGAGATGGACCCGAGATGGACCCGAGATGGAGTCCGAAATGGAGTCTGAGATGGAGTCCGAGATGGAGTCCGAGATGGAGTCCGAGAAGGAGTCCGAAGTCGAGACCGAGACCGGGACCGAGACCGAGACCGAGACCGAGATCGGGACCGAGACCGAGACCGAGACCGAGATCGGGACCGAGACCGAGACCGAGGCCGAGGCCGAGACCGAGCCCGAGCCCGAGTCCGAGTCCGAATCCGAGTCCGAGTCCGAGTCCGAGTCCGAGTCCGAGTCCGAGTCCGAGTCCGGAGCCTGAGAGGGTGAAAGCCCAAAGCGTTCGTCTCCCAGACCCTGGGGGGTTTGGTGAGCTCCAAAAGTATAGTAGGGGGAGGACTGCAGTGGAGCCAGTTTGGCCAGGAAAGGCCAGTTTGGCCAGGAAAGGCCAGTTTGGCCCAGGAAGGCCAGACCCAGTGTTGGGTGATGAACTGACCACTGGGAAGTCCAAGACTAGAGTGAATACGGACCGACAAGCGGGGTAGCTTGGTAAAGTGTTCAAGAGCCGGCTCTAGTTCCCCCGGGAGATTGACTGGCCGATGCTCCCAGTCCAAGTGTGGATGGCACTACCTACTTGGATACCAAGCGTGGCTCAATGGAACCTCGCTCTAAGCCCATGGCTAAAGCACCTAAAGGCGATAGGTGGGGAGAGTACCCAGGTGGCTCGCGTAAGGCCACGGTGTTCCGAAATGTTGTCCCAAAGGCCCAGACTGTGGAAAGGAAGAGGAGCAGTCCTCTAGGGTAGTGACCAAGGACACAGTCATGTGGTGAGGAAGTTCCAGAGGACCGTGGGACTTAGTGGTCGGGCCTGTGGGCCTCGATCCAGTGGTAGTGTTGGCAAACACGGCCAGGGGCAGAAAGGGACTTGGTAGGAACTGACAAAGGGACTTTGGGGAAGGCAATTCCCCAGGTCTGTGGGCATCCTAAGGATGCTAAGGAGTGGATCTAGGATGACCACTCGTGGACACATGGCCCAGTCTTGGAGAGACGAGGTGGTGATGCAAGTGGTGTTGAACCACTAGTGCAGCAAAGGTGAATGGGCATGGCCTTAGCGTAACGGGCCGAGATGTCAATGGTACCTTTGGGTGTCGGTCTCAGGACCGGGCACGTGGAGCACTTGGACCAGGTGCAAGTGTGGAGTGGCATGGATGCCATTCTTGGGGCTAGCAAGTCCCAAGTCCTGAATTGGACTGATGGAGGTTGTGAATGAGACTCCTCCAAGTGGTCGGAGGTGTGGTTAAGTGACTAAAGTAGAATGGAAAATTTAGTCGCTTACAATTTGGTATCGGAGCTGTTCCTTAGTCCGACTTTTATTGGTGCTCAAGTATATCACCACTAGTGTTGGCATCGGAAGGTCTGAGGAGTGGGCCTATCCTTGAGGAGTAGCAAGTCTGGAAGACATGGCTCTCCATTACAGTTCATGTGTGAACTTGTAGACGAGGTGGTGGATAGAAAAGGGCCAATAATGGAACGACTTTGGGATCTTGGGAACAGTGCAAGGTTTTCCTCATTGAATTGAGGATGTGATCCGGATGAGCATTTGTCTCAGCAAATTGGCTTAGGTTGTTGTGGTAAACAACTAAAGTTGGGATCACGGGAAAGATAGAGACTCCAAGACAATAAAGGAGTCACAAGATTATCCTCATATAGTTGAGGTTGGTGCTCATGAATGTGAGACCAAAGGTAATGACCGTGGAAGGTCAAATACGGAAGAGGACTCAAGTCCTTGAAATGGTAGCCGGGGCTACCTCTAATAAATGCTGGAACAACCCAAGGAGTTGGGGGTGTATTAAGTGGATGAGTTGGTATTCTCATCACATGGACAAGTAGTCCTAAGGGGCAAAGGTTGCCCCCAGAGAACAAAATCAAGTGTCGGAGTAACACTTGTGAAAATAGTCCTTTTGAGTAGGACCGGAATGCAAGATGTGTATTCCAGTGAGCTAGTGCCTCACAAGTAGGACCTTACGGGCCGGTGGATTAACCAAGTCCAAAACTGCTAAACGACTCAAGTAGAGTCAAGGGATGGTCCTAAAAAGGACTGAATGAAGCATTTGGACTGAGGTGCGTTGTACCCCACAAAGGATGGGATCATAGGATCCAAGGATGAGAACAGAGAGTATCTCATCGATGGCAAAATGTGCCATGCTAAAGTTATAGGAAAGGTGTTCCCAGAAGAAAACAACTTTGACATAAAGTTGTGTGTGACCTCTATGGGGCAGTGCTAACAGATGGTTGGCATAAGAAAGAGCGGTGTTGGTCTTGGCAAAGACTTAGACACGAAGGGAAATGTCATAGAGGTAGGCTCGTGGAGCC